AATAGTGAAACAAGTGAAACAAGTGAAACAAGTGAAACAAGTGAATTTATTTCTGCAAATAGGCTACAAGGCAGCACTTTTACACGTCAATTTTATCAAGCGAACGATGAGGTCGACATTTCCTAACTGACTACTCTGAGAAGAAATGCCGAAACAAACTCAGAGGTCTGTCTCTTTTAAAGTCCAGACAATATGTATAACAGATTATGTGTGAGAACCGTGCCAGTTCTTTCTGTAGTGGGCTTTTGAGGAAAGAACCACAACAGTTTGAGCGAACCCGTGTTTGTCGTGTCTATCGTATCGGTCGTATTTGTCATGTCTATCATGTCTGTCGTGTCGGTCGTGTCTTTTGTGTCGGTCGTGTCTGTCGTGTCTGTCGTGTCTGTCCTGTCTGTCGTGTTACATCTGCAAAATGATGAGAGGAGAAAAGCAACATTGGACAAAATTCTTCCACGCTAACTCAGTAATAGAGTGGTTCGTGGGGCACCCATTTGTCAAGCTTTTTTATTTTGCCCATTTGACGCAAATGGATCAATATTATTTTTAAAGCTAACGTTGAAAGCTGCTGCTATTTCATTCGTAGATTGTGTGTTGCTTCCACACACGCGTTAAATTCGTCATTGTCGACCAGTCTTCGGACGACCGCGCGGTTCATTTTTCAGGTCATATTTCCAGAACGGAAGCGAGCCAACCAATAACAGGCGATGCGTTGGTTTCTCGTGTTAGCTCCATAAACGTCGTTGATGTCGCTTGTACCGCGTTGCTGTCACGACGGTACTCAATTTCCATAATTACTCGAATTTTTAACGTATCCATGACGACGAAAAATATTGAAATGCGATGAAAATGTAACACTTATTAATAATGAAATAACTATTTTGATAAAAACAAGATTTTCAAACAAAATTAATTTGAAATTAGAATTCTTAGCTAAACAAAAAAATAGTTTGATTTGAAATACTGCAGAACGGCAATTTCATGGGTAAAGACCAAATATTAGACTGGCTGTTCCCCGCCACTTATAATAATGACTTCTGGCAGAATTTGGGTTATTCTATTCTTTTCCAGGGTTAATTCTCATGCTGTGTCACATCAGAATCGATTCAGTACCTTAGTTACCTACATTTATTGTAAAACGAGTTCACTTTCGTTTTTCAAAAAAAAAAGTATCACATGGGTTTTGCCCGTTCCCGTCGTGTATCAGTGATAAAAACTGTTCTATGTCCTTTCTAGGATATTACTCTCGTACTAGTAATGAAGCCTGGATGGTACCGGAACGTAAAAAGTAGTTCTTATGGCACAACTGTAATAGTTAGACATAAAGACGGGTCCAGACATGTATCATTTGCCCGATCCGATCACCGTATCTGTATCATCGACGCGTATCATGATCGCATATGTGGACGGCTAATGATATACGTGTCATGATACGGCCCGTCCCATGTCGTGTCGGTTTTTGTCCGATCATCAAAGGTGATCCAGACGTGGGTCAGTCTGGATACGTCACTCGTGACGCTCAGTCGGTTGCACTTGCGCGTCATTTTCAGTCCTTGCCGTGAAGTGAAAACAATGAATTGGAACAATGAAAATATTATTAAATTTATCGAGGTCTATAAAGAAAAGCAAGTATTAGGGACTTTGATACGCGATCATGACTATTGTGAAGATACATTTAAACGAAGTTTAGGTGCTCTTGTAGTTTCTTTTTACAGGAGTCTGGATTTGTGCCCAGTATATGGCAATAGGCTCACCCCCTATTACATGGGATTCATAACATAAATAGTGAGAGTGGGTGTTACATTGTACAGTGGCATTTAGTGCCGTAATATGCACCTCTGCCTAACCTTCGGGGATAAAAGTCGTGATGTCATGTTATGTGGCTTTTTCCATACTGGATTGAATTTCCTATTATTTCGGGAAATATGCATGTTTCCGAAGATTTTTTAAATTATATGTAGCTGTGATGAATACAAGTTGCGATCTCACAATTCGGATTGTATCTCCAAAATATGTTGGAAATGTCTAATTTTTTGAGTTAAGAAGATGAAAAAAAGGAATCAAACCAAGTCACCTCATACTCAGTACTCGCTTCTACACGCACTGGTCTACTAAACTACGGATACGGAGCAAATCGGAGGCGTCCACAACTTGATACGGAGCTTGATAATACGCAGATACGGATACGGTGATCGGATACGGTGATAGGATCGGTCAAATGATCATGTTTGCTCTTTTGTCTATTATTTCCACAGAGTCAGCAATATAAGGAGACTTTTTGGTCGATTTTTCATACATTGGGTTACATCGTCGAATTTTTCACACGGTTCCCTTTTTCTCTTATAAAATTCCTACGTTTATCAGCGATAGTGGAAAATTCCAACAGTTAAAGAATGTTTCAAATAAGTCCAGTCGTTTCGGAGCCTATTCAATTCAAATGAACAAACAAAAATCAAATCTTTCATAGTGTAGATTAAGTACTGACTGGTTATTACTTTGAGAGGAAACTGAATTTACAATTCGTACGCACTTACCTTGTTTTTTCTTGATATGATTTAATTTGTGAAAACTATTTTTAACTTTTACAATCGATGCGAAATTAATTATAGCTACTCGTACACTAATCAAAAATATATACTGAGTACGTCTTATTAAAATATAGACTCATGGTCTACTGTCAGACCCAACTGTCTGGATTTTTTTTTTTTTTTAAGGGGGGAAAATCATCGAATGACTGCCCCCGCCTGGGTGAGGCGGGAGGGAGTGTCAGACTCTTACTGACTAAAAACCACCCCGTTCCTTCTCCTGCACGTCGAGCCGGAGCCCCGGTTACCCGTTAGGTTCTCCGCGACAACTGTCTGGATACGTTGGTTTGTAGTTAAAAGGGGTTAGAGGTTTGTAGTTAAAAGGTATTAAAACAAATTTATATTTAAAAATCCATTTTATTTTGTTATTTACACATAATTAGATCAGTTGAACTTACAGACTAACATACAAAAATATTTTTTGTTAATGCAAAATAAAAAAACAAATACAGTATTTTTTGTAAAGAATCTATGGACCAAAATTTTAAAACTAAACGATGTAGGTATTGATTGGTAGATCTATATGTATAGGCGAAAGTTGGTATGGTCTGATTAATCAAAAAACATTAAAAACAATTATTTTCATTAGTTACTTTACTGTGGGCCCTGCTAGGAATAGATATATCTATTGAATTAATTATTGTAGGAATTGACCAAAATAAAGATAAAAAAATTGGCTCAGTTACTTAATCAAAATTAAGCATTAACGATATATTTAGGTGTCGCATAAACAAAAAATATAGTTGTAGGTAGATAACTATTTGTTTATAACATTGGAGAAGGCAGACCTCATCACATTGTATGCTCCACCTGCAATATCCTTCGCTGAATCGACGCCTTTGGATACCACCCTTTCAATGTCGTCTCGAACTTCTGTGAAAAACAGTTTCATTAGGTCATTAATAGCCCGAGAGTCGATTGCTAGTCTACCTCTATATGAGCCCCTCCACAAAAGGGGAGTTTGCCGTAAACTACATGCTACGGAGTCGCGGAGGACTTAATGAGTTGCCGAGGCTCCGACTCAAAGAGCAGTAGTAAGAACAGGGTGGTTTTTAGTCAGTTGGAGTCTGACACTATCTCTTGCCTCACACAAGGCGAAGCATGATTTTCCCCTCAAAAAAGCATACTGGTTGGAGATCACGACTTAAAACGTACACCAAAGAACGCCACTGCCTGCTATCTGTTACACATGTAGTTAATATAGTCGGCTTCTACCCTGCTGTCACCAGAGGGCTAAGTTAGATCATTAAAAATATTGTCTAAAAAGTAAGCAATAGGGACGATGACAAGGTGTGAAAAATTAAAGTTACTATCTAGTCTTGAACGTAATACGTCTGCAGCTAATGACGATGAATACGATTATTTGAACTGATTACTACTTACCAACATAGCTCATTGGAGCTCTGCGATATGGGGTTTCGTTATCTGAATAGTTATAAGAAAATAAATTAAATAAAAAGTGACCATTAATATTATCACCATTGTCATTATCAACCCGTTTTTACCCACTGCTGGACATAGGTCCTTCCTAAAGCATGCTACCGCGCTCAATATTCTAGTCTTTGCATCCAGCCACCCTGTCCTGGATGCCGTTAGCTGTAGCTTGCCCTATGCTACGTTGGCCTAGAACTTGGTAAACACTCCAGAATAGTATATAACTTGCGAGGTAACTTTTAATTTGAGTAAACGTGCACTTTATGGAATAAAAATGTAGTTAGTCCTTTTGTAGCTAACCCACTATCAGCAAAATGAAAAAATAGGACTTACTAATAACAGAACCAAAAAGGCTGAAGTCCAAAATACCTTTTGGAGGTGCAATAGTACTCAATTCTACATCGTTGTTTTCCTTATTGCCAGATTTTATTTCTGTTTTGACTTTCTCAGCGTCTTTTGTACCTGGTTCATCTTCATCGGTTTTCTTTGATTCTTTATCTGTTGATAAAGCGTCAGTACTATTTGCTTTAGTAGACGACGTCTCTTCTATTTTTGTTTCATCTTCTGCTGTTTGTGGCGATGTTGCTGTGGGTGTAACTTTACTATCATTTTTTGTTTGTGTTGGTAATTCATCTTCCACAAGTGATACTAACTTTGGTGGTTCATTGGACGACACAACTTCATCATTCTGTTTTAAGTTGTCTGTCGTATTTCCGTCTTTGGTTGGGGATTTTGGTGAAGGTGGGTCCACTGTAAGTAGGTCCTGTTTAGGACCTTTCGTAGAAGAATCTGATTCAGGTGAGTCCTGTGTAGTTGCATTCAATGCAGTTGCATTTATTGCAGTCGGTTTCTGTGTAGTTGGGTCTTCTGCAGGTGGATCCTGTGCAAGTGACTCTTGTGTAGATGATTTAGTTGTGGGTTGTTCAGCTGTTGTAGTAGCATTTTCTTCAGCATTCGATAATTGTAATAATCCATTTTGACAGATCTGGAAACAATTTTTACATTTTATTATGTGTGGAATTTATTAGAAAGTTGAGAAGTGGTATGAATTAACTAGAATTGTATGTTAACCACGTGAATATACTAAGTGCAGCGTGCGCGGTCGCACGCTGCTCATTAGAAAGAGCCCCTCTGTAGATCGAAACTAGTAGAGCTTTTCTCAGTATATTCACACGAGTAACCCGCGATTTTTAGTTAATTCAGTATGTCTCATGATAGTTATTATAAGTGGCATGAAGTTCATTTGTATGAAATAAAATAAACTGGGATGATTGTGTATCACAGAGAGATTATGAAAGTCACATAGGAATTCTGGGTTCATTGTCATTAACACCTTGTTCTCGTCCACGACTAGACATACTCCTCTCCAATCGCACGCCACTGAGCTTGATATTCAGCTCTACGCATCCAACCACTGCCAGCCACTTTGCGGATATCGTCACTCCACCTAGCTGGAGGGCACCCTACACTACGTTTGCCTAGACGCGGTCTCCACTCCAGAACACATCTACCACAACGGTCATCGGTTCTTCGACAAATGTGACCGGTCCACTGCCATTTCAGCTTGCCACTCCTTTCTACGTCAGTAACTTTAGTTCTCTGTCGGATCACCTCGTTACGGATCTATTTTATTTGGGTTATTGTTTTTTAATTATCTGCTCCTAATTTACATTTTTTTTAAGTTGACCTTAACCTTTTCCTAACCTTTGTGCCGAACCTATCAGTACCTCCAAGTATATATACAAGAAAAGTATTGTTATCAAGAAAACTCATTTTGATTAGGAATTTAATGTCATGGCATTTCACGGGCAAATTAAATTACGTATTCACAAATCAAATTCCATCGCTTCATTTTGAAGAAACATGTACCTTATCTAATCTTAAAATATATAACCAACAATATTTTTCACACACAGGTATTATTGCTTATTCAATGAAAATATTTTACTCTCTTAATGAGATGATTCCAGTCAAAACATACTGACAGTTCGCTTAGCCGGGAGACGAATTAATTAATATTTTACTAGCTCTTGCCAGTGTTGTCGTGGGATAAAAAGTATCCCATGTATTCATTCCAGATCATAATCTACGCATGCCTCCAATTTCATCCCGATCCCTTCAGCCGTTTTGATGTGATTGAGTAAGAAATAGACACACAAACACACTAACTTTCACATTTATAACATTAGTAAGGTTTTATATTGCATCGGTTTAACTGCCGATAAAAAACTGTTAAGGGCTAATCCTCCGCTAGCGTCGGACACCACTGTCCTACACGGCATCCAATGTATTAAGTTATTTTCATCACTCATCGTCTTTTTCATACCCTCATCTGAAGCTGCTTGAAGTTCATCCAATATGTCTTTTTTCCATTTTATTCTATCAGACTTCATTCTAACATTGATACCTTTCATATCACCTTTCTTTCGTTATCTTCAAAACACGCTTCTATCCTTACACTTATGTCGCGGAGAACCTAACCGGTTACCGGGGTTCCAGCTCGAAGTGCAGGAGAAGGAACGGGGTGGTTTTTAGTAAGTAAGAGTCTGACACTCCCTTCCGCCTCACCCAGGCGAGAGAAGTCATTTGATGATGTTCCCGAATTTAAAAAAAAATCCTTACACTTATAAATACGTTATTACTTATATCCACAATTAACTTACAAATATAATAAATACACACACGACACCACACGACATCTTGTTTTAAGATATTTTGTGCACTAGTTGGTTATGCTGTGCGATTTCGTTTCAATTTGTTCTACTAAGGGTTAGTTTACATTATGCTGAATCGAGTGTTTAGTCGCGTTAGGCGTAGGCTTCATAGTTGACGGTATGTTTATCCGATCAAGTGTAAAAATATTTCTATCGTTATTTTCAATTTACACTTTTATTTTTCATAAGTAGTACAAAATTTGGAGTCGCTACTCAGTATACTGTAAGACTCATAGTTGAGTTGCAACAACTGGTTTTTTTTTTTAAACCAGTGAACAGTAGTAGCATGGAGTCTGGAATTATGCCCGGTATAGGCGTGAGCCTATTGCCATATATAATAAGAAGAATATTTCCGAAGGGGCAGGCAGAGGTGCACATAACGGCACTTAATGCCACTCTACAATATAACACCCACTTTTCACTGTTTATGTTATGAGTCCCATGTATGTAATAGGGAGTGAGCCTATTGTCATATACCGGGCACAAGTCCAGACTCCGTGCTACGACTAAGAAAAACCCTGTAATACTTTGCCTGACTCGGGAATCGAACCCGAGACCCCTTGCCCGGCAGTCGCACTTGTGACCATTCGGCCAATGAGGCAGGGAGAATGAAATTGACGGTTCGATTTATTGTGAACTATGCCTTATAGTTAATGTATAAAAGGAATAAATTGGTCATAGTCGTTAGGTATTCAATAATGCGTAACGTTTGCCTCTTAAATCGATGTGATGTTGATATTCTTTGATTATTTTACATAACGTGACTATGTACTAGTATATAAAATATCTACATTTTATATAAAAGACTATGTTTCGTTCTGTTACATTTGTAAATGTTTAAGTAAATGGCGCTTTGTGTGGTGAATTTTATTCTTAGTTTTAATTGGTGTTGTGAATGTTTAAACTGTCAAACACCAAGCGGTCACCGGTGACCGCAACCTATTGTTCTATAATTGTGTCTGCAAAACCGGTACTCGACGAGTTAACATTGTTTTTAAAAGACTTGCTGTATAGTTGAATGATTGCAGACTATTCACCATATTAAGTATGGGATGATGACACAACTTTTCCGGTATCAAGTGGTTTTTGTATTCAAATCCACCACAGAATCTGACCATACAAATTCACAACCAACGAAAAAGTACAGAAAAATGTCCCAAAATATCTTTTCCAAAAACACTAATAACTCTTGGCTACTGGTTTCCAAATTCCTTCATTCCATGTCCGAAAGGGACAAAAACAAAAGCTAAAATAGTTCGCTATCAATATAATAACACAATAGCTATACGTCAGGCCTTTGTGCCGCGGCGGCAAAAGGCGCGAATTGGGAGTCGAACCCATCGATTCCCAACTAATATTTTACACATTCATGTTGAAACAAAAACGTATAGAGCGCGCGATTCCACTGCACGTTGTACGGACTTGGTAACTGAATTAAATTGTTGTGTATTTATTTTGAAAATATTTTATTTGTTTGATAATAATATATCTAAGGTATAAAGTTTCGTATCTTCCACTCAATAAAATTTCATATAATATTTATTTAATCTAAGTTATGCAATATTTTAAATTGCATGAAATTACTGAGGCATTCGAAAACCGAAAAATAAACAAAACATTACCCACAACCAAATAATCGAACTTTTATGCATCAAGGCTTCTCGATGAGTAAGCAACAGTAGTATTGTATTCAATAATTCACAACCAATATTTTAAATCAAAATGCCAACTACAATTTTGGACCGAACTGTGTTCTGCTCCGCAGCAACGTCTGCACCGCGCCGCTGCGGCCGCTCAAATGTAAATTAAATGATGAATAGATACGCACACGAATGCGCTTTGCAATGTACCCACAAAAAAATAACATTCAGCCATTAATTCGAGATGTGGGCTGTTGTTTACTCCGGTTTTTCCAAGTACTTTACTTATGTATTTGGTTCTGTTATGATTTAAAACTTTGTGGTTAATTTATTATTAATTTAGATTTTAGAGTTGGGTTTTGCGAATAAAGTGCTTTACTGCAATAGTTTTGTAAGCATTACCGGACGAATAACTAAATGTTATGACTATACTTTCTGCATTTAGAGGTATACCTAAGACGTACGCAGAACTTCTCTTAAGTACCTATTTATTAAGTGGGAAAAATAATCCATTGGCTTCTCTTGCTCTCGTCTGACCCGGGCGGTGAGGCGAGAAGGAGTGTCAGACTAAGGTATTACTGACTAAAAGCCACCCTGTGCCTACTTCTGTACTTCGAGCTGGAGCCCCGGCAACCCTTTAAGTCCTCTTAAGTTACATTTAGACACATCGCACACTAACTGATTATCTAGCCACTTGCACAAGATAGCTGTTAAATCCTGTTTTCGGACAGAATTTCGGGGCTATTAAATTTCACCTTCATAGAACAAGTCCACCTCAAACAAAGAAGCTAGACAATGAAACAAACACAAGTACCCATTTTAAATGATACATTACCTATGTACGATTTTAATATGTCTGCTGACGGTACGCACCCACATCAACGCACACGTCAGACTGCTCTAATCCAACGGTTTATATGTATTTATTGTACACCTGCTTCGAAACGGTAGATTTTTTTGCTGTCCCTACACCTTTTGTTTGTGTGGTTTCAGAGAGGCGTAGATTTGTAGTATTTTGCTATATTATTTACAGGCATTTAAAACACTGATCGCCTTTTTTGTCGACTCGTCGAAAGTGCAGATGCCGAGCAAGTTTTCTACCGGGCTTAACTCCTGAGAATTTCGATCGGGCTAAGTATCATTGGTTTTTTAATAACTTCCTTTTTATTACGATCGGCACGGAGTTTGGAATTGTACTATTGTCTATTACTTTAGAAATAGGCTCATCTTATTACATGACTTTTTTAAAATAAGTAATGAAATGTAGATGTTATTAAAAGGTGTGGCACATGTGAAAGATTAACGTAAATTAGTTTAGAAAATATATCAAAATGCGAACGCATAATTGCATGAAATATTTTTGATTATAGATTTTAAAATAAGAAAAATATGCAGCAAATTCTTAATTTAACGATGGAAATCTATTTTATGCATTTATGGGTTAAGTTAGATAACAATTTACATAAGGACGGTACTTCAAATCATTGAAATAAATCGTCCCACTCAATGTGAGGACATTGAGTTTTTCCACAACCCATTCTCATCAACCGTATGGATTGGAAAAGTCCATCCCTCTGCCGGATGACATGGAAAGGGCGTTACCACGGAATCGATGAGTCAGTGGGTTCGAATCCGCACTGTCTAATAAAATGGATACGCTTACTAAGCTCTTTAAAGTAGATGGGACGAAGTCCTTTAGTGTTTTTTGAATGGCGTAGTGATGATTTTTGGTTTCTAGTTTTACATTGTCAAGACTGACATTAAACCCGTTATTTCTCAAGTGAGTAAGTAGAGGGCTATGTCATACTATATACTCTCCAGTGACCTCTTATATAGGGTGTGCTATTTAACATATCGGGTGTGATTCCAAAGCTTACAACATACATACCTAAGTTAACAAAAAGCAACAATAAAATAAGTTATGACAAGATACAAAAAATATAAAAAAGGAGACATGTAACTTGATTGAACTATCTAACCCTTGTAATAAGCCGATAAAGGAATTCTCGAAGAGAAGAGAAACTCAACGTGGAGTGTTCAATATGTGTATATTTATGAAGTTTCCATAGCAAAAGGCGCAGAAACCACATTACACTGTCTTTTATATTACTTATTAGGTTATTATGACCCCAATTAGTACGTCAATAAGCTACGGTAATTACTTCAAATGTAGAAGTGCAACAGAACACAACAGAATTTTGACATATTATTATACTACATCCTATTTTAGGTGCAATTATATTTTTAAATTCGCATATAAAAGTGTATTTCCTTGCAATTTATATCTGAAATCTCTACAGAGCGTAATGGATACCCAGTATTCACTTTGAAGTGTCTCCGATACTGAATTTATGTCCCTATACATAACTAAGCTTGCTAAACAAATAGTGATGGGAATCAACATCGATACAGTCTTTGTGAAGACCAAATGACGTAACAGAAGACAATATCCCTTATTACTCTCGTTGGTAAAGTTGTATTGTGAGTTTAACAAAATTTTTTACTAGCAATAGTATATTTTTATTGCACTTTCTCTGACAATGCCATGAGTAACGAAATTCAGATAATATTATAATAAGTTTTATAGATTACTTTGAGTTGAATTCAAGCATAGGCATAGGCTTATAGGAAATAAGAATAAGATAAGATAGATAAGAATAATCTTTATTGTACACCTTAAAGCAATATAAACATAAATGTCGAGTTACATCCAAGAATAGTAGGGTACAAAGGTGGCCTTATCACTAAAAGCGATCTCTACCAGGCAACCTTTAATGCCTGGAATATTGATATAATTCCAAACAAGTGTCGTTAAACTGTCAAAACGATCAATTGAGCATCGTTTATTTTAAAATACTTAACTGTCTAATAAACTTTCACATCTTTTTATCGATAATCGATATCAATTTTCTTGATATCATGACATCACTACTCGTACAGCGCTTAGCATTAGACGAAGCTTATTTGACAAGTCTAGAAACACTTAGAATTAGCGCGTAAAGCTTTGACAATGAGTTAGGATAATGGTTTGTTTAAGAATGGTGTATTACAAGTATGAATATTATAGCAAGGTTGTGGAAAATATATTTTAAAGACATATTTCATAGAACAAAGTAAAAGTAAAAGTTATTTATTTATTTAAGCTTGATGGACAAAGCGTTCATAAGGTGGACTTAATGCGGCTGGCATTTTCTTCCAGTCTGACCTTTTATTTTGACCTTTCTCCGATTAATGACCAGAAAAGAGAATTGTGGTTAAGATGTGTGACACAACTGCTTATAAGAATCCACAGAAATTGAGAATAAAAGTTAACAATTTCCTTTCAAAATACTTGCTACTTTCTACTTAAGGCATACTGACGTGTTAACCAAAAATAAATGTTCCTTTTTTATTAAAAACG